CATCAAGATTTCTGCAGTACTTTCTAGAACTTCAGCACTTTTATCTTTAGATTGACAATCAAATGCGAATGCTTATTGCTTCTTTTTTTTGGAGAAAAATGTTTGTGTATCTTGCAGCAGATGTCTGGCTTGAGTTCTTGAAGTATTTTACATGGAAGCAAAAGTTACCTAGATATGGAGCAAGAAATGTTCCTGAACAGCATTAAAATAATCCAGCGTATGTTTTCTTAAAAATCTGGCATCACGATTTGTGTTTGATGATTGCTCTTTCATGTAGTTTGGAAGTAGCACCTGATACTGTGCATTTGATGAGCCATTGCAACTAAAGTGCTGAATAAATTAAAACCAGAAGTTGTGGTAGGCTTGCAGTCAGTGATGGAGAAATTGCAGAGCCGCCGCCTTCCAGGTTTCCTTTCAAATCTATACTGTTGTTACTGATGAATAAGGGGTGTTGCTGCTCTGTGTTTCGTTGCCTATGAAACTAATTTAGCCTGGGTCTCTGTGTTCGAGCATTTACACCTTAGAAATTGCCATCACTGATTGATTGCCTTGCTGATGGTCTTAGGGGAGAGACCAAGGGGTGATTAGGTTTGGAGATTGACTTATCTGCTTAACTCTACAGTTAGAGTTCCAATGAGGAGTATGTCATCTGGAAATTTATCTTGGTATCTTCACATAGGTTTAGGGCATGTGAATGAGGTATTACGCTTATGTCATGATCACCACCTGTGTTCTTGTTTTGTGGCCTGGGAACAGCCTTGGCTTCCAGATGTGTCAGTGCAATCATTTCTAGCAGTACAAAATTCACGTTGACTAATGTTTCATATCTGTGTTTAATGTACATAATTGCCATACAGCAGAGCAAGAACTGTTTTTCTTTAAATAGTAGACTGTGCAAAGATTATAATAGCAGACTGTGCTGGTCTAAGTCTTCATAACAACACATTTTTTTGAGGCCATACACACTCTAGTTTCCATCTGCTTTTAAGTTTGTTGCAATTGTCTTTCGTGTGAGTGGGTTTTCTTGCCTTTAAGGCTAGATAGCCTTCTAGACAGAAGAGGTCATTTAGAGCTCTAGTCATCCTCTGTCTCTGCAGAAGATTTCTATAATGCTGTGCTGCTTTTGCCTTTCTTTCCTTTTCTTTGTTTCTCTTTTCTGTGCTGTTTGTTTATTTAGTACTTCACTAATCTAAGGATCCGAATGGATGCTTCTGTGGTGTGCTAAAATTCATTCTCAATTAACTGGTGGCCTAAGTACAGCCCGAAGACCTCTCAAACTATTGCTTTTGTAGATTTACATTTTCTTTCCTCTTCCCCACCTTGCAGTGTCCCTTTTCTAGCCATGCTAGCGTGCTGCCTGCTTCTTTTCTGTGGTCATAGAGGTAGCAGAATATCTTGAATACACAATGGATAAGGCGTTACAAGAAGTAATTCTTCAACAATTGCATGATCTTCTCATCATTCGCTCGTTGTATTGCTTAAATTCAATTTAAATCTCCTATAGGGTATAAGGACCAATAGGTAATTCCCACACCTAAAATTCCTTTGCTATAACACCATAATAAAACTAGTACATCAGTTGGTATGTTTTATTTCCAATTGTGTTAATCTTTGAAACTGGTAGGAAAAATAGGTTTCTTCTTCTTGGAATGAAGATCTGTGTGCGTTTAATAAGCTTCTTCCCATTGGCCACAGTGAAGTGACTTTTTCTTTTGCATGACACACTCGATGTACTGAGAATACAGGTTATATTGGTCATTCTGTATTTATTCTCATCTCTGTACAATTGTAATGATCTAGTTAGTTACATGGGAATTGAGAGGAAGGTTTTATCTCAATTCTGAGTACATAGCCTGGTAATTTGGGGAACCATTTGAAAAATAAAGCAATATAATGGTTATGCTATTTGAATAAAACATTTAATATCAAAGCTTTGTTTCTATTCAGTCAATATTGTTACCAAGGAACCACTAATTACTGTGTATCATGTTAGAGAGGGCCCTGACAAATCCATGCAAATCATATGATTTATAATTCATAAATCCCCGAACCCCTGAGAAATGTTGCTCTTGCACTTACACTAATCGAGTACTTATGTTCATTGATCCAGTCCATATAGCACCTTCAGTCCATATGGCAGTCTGTATTGTAGGGCCGGAAACTTCTGTTGTCAAATGTCCCCTATGGTCGATGGCACTATACTGTTCCCAATATCTGCTTACTTGGCCCTTTGCTTCATAATCCTTCAGTCCTTCAGCAGTCAGTTCTGCCCGAATCAGAGCAATATTTATGTCTGTCTCCCCCTGGCTGCAGAGGTACAAAGTCTGCATGGTACAGCATTGCCTTTTGGGGATGGGACTGCAGTGGTTAATCAATCTTACTAGTAAGCTAGTTGTTCTAGAGTAGCTATGTAGTATACTGGCTTATATTGGTACTAATATGCATTTGTGCCAGTAGCTGCTCTCAAAAATGGCTCACTTGTAAGAATTAGACAACATAGGTGTTTATTTTTGGCTGTGCGGGTTTTTGTTGGATATTTTTCTATGTGTAGAGAGTAGATTTTTTTTTTTTTAACCTCACAATACAGTGGTTGCCAATAGTTATAAATACCCGAATACACAGTCTAATAGTTGATACATTGTTGTTTGTGAATAATCAGCGCACCGGTGAAGGAGATGGAATCCTATGCAAATTTTGTATGCCGAACTGAAAATAAAAGTAGGGGACTAAAGATATATTATATATCAGGATAGTACTTCTTGCCTGACCATTGTTACCTATTTTTCTAATAATTTTGGCATAGTTTTGTAATGTAGTATAATTGTAATTGTTGTCCAGAAGAATGGCATCACTTAATTCTATCAAAACTGTAGAAAGATAGATGAATGACAAATTAATAATTTACCATCTTTGCATAATACTGTAGCACAGAATATCAGAAGGATTGATGGCAGAAGAGGTTAACAAATTTTAGCGGCTTCCATTAGCTTTTCATTGTCATATGTTTGTGGTGCTGACTGAAATAAGCTTTGCAGGAGATCTCAGTCTAGGGAACTAATTACTTGTGCCGATTGCCATACTGATGAATAGACCCTCATTGTATCATTCCCCTGAAGACGAGGAGCAGTCTGTGATTCACGACTGCATCCTGGCTGATATTTGATAATAATTTTAACAGATAAATGTAGGAAGGCAGAATGATGAAGTGCCTATCCATGCTCTACGACTATCAAAGGCATGCACATAGCCAGCTGTGTTCTGCCTTTTTTCTGTAATCACTAATGGAGAATTTTAAGTTATTAATCGGCCTTTGAATAAACCCATAATCTTCCGATGTTTTATAATTTTTGTTTGGTTAATTAATCCAAAATCATTGGATTTTATAATCAAAGCATTCAAATTTCAGCATGATTGTAACACACACAAAGTGTGAAAATAAGATACTGGGGCATTTGATTCCAGTACTTCAGTGTTTTTCTGAAAGTAAGAAACCAGGAAGATGAAGAATAGCACTGCCTTTTCTTTGGTGATAGAAAAAGGCATAGAATTTTAATGAAGGTAGATGCAAAGACACTCTCCATTTTCATAAGATTATTTTCAGTCGCAATTTTTAATGTCTACAAATTGTGTTTGAGAGTAGGGTTATGCAAATTATTCTGGCATTTGTTACCATGTTTGTTTGAAACCTTGATTTACCTTAAATAAAACTCATTTCTGCCTTTAGACCTCAAAACTAAGAATGTAGATACCAAGTATTTTTAACACTGTGATCTCTAAATTAGTTGTGGCTATTCATTTGTCAGTGTTGACAGGTATACTTTCTATTAGCTCCTGGACCAGGAATGGAATGGAATATATATGCATTTTCATCTATTGTTTTAATATTAGTTATGTTAACAAACAAAATCAGTGTTTTTTAATTTGGGCATACAGGTTTTCAGGCTATCGCGGCTATTCTATGCTTCAGGCATTTTCTGTTTGTTTATTTGCTATACCTGAAACTGGCATTTTTTTGTACATTCTCTGGGCTAAAATACTGTCTTACAGTGGCATTCATTCATGATCATCTAACAAGATAGTAACTGGCACTTATATATGACCATATTAAAAAGATCTACGTATATTTGGAGCATACAATGGAAAATAATGAATTTGATATAACCTTTTCTAGATGTAATTTTTTAAAAGTATGCCTTCAATATAGCAATTATTACACATCTTAACATGTAGTTTTTAATTAAATGTAAAAACACAACTACATAAACCAGAAATCCAATCTGATTTGCTCGAAAATAGATTGCTGTTTCACTCTCCTGGAATGGTTTATTTAAAAACAGTAAATGGAAAAGAAATGCATTTTCTTGTGTTGTTCTAAGCCTCAGGGGCTAAATGTAATGAATATTTTAAGAGATTATTTTAATTAAATTCCTGCACATCTAAACAGAGTAATATTTTATTATCACATACATAACCATGTAACTGAGGTATTCATTAAAGTTAACACTTTCTGGACCAAGAATTCATGGTATGATTTACTGACCTTGTGCAAAAAGGCACAAATTAGGAAGAAAAATGAAGGGGGACAGACTTTGATTAATATAGGTAATGCTATACCATATTTATAATAGCCTTTTCCCTATTCTGGTTTATAAATGCAGTCACTGAGAAAGGTGCCCTGCTGAGGCTGAAATGAGGCTGAAATCGGAGCACATGCCACTAGAGTGTGGGGAAACTGATCACACTGTCAGCAATTCATTTCAAAATGATGTATTTAGTGCTCATTTCACCTTCCAAGAAAAAAGGGAAAGGAGTTCCTTAGTCTGGAAGGTGATATTGTTATTTTCAAGGACATACCTAAGTAAAAGATTGCAGAAAGGGGGGAGGTTAAAAAAAAAAAAAAGGCAAAAGCAGTGCAAACAAGGAGAGCTTTATGCAGAAATTCAGCGCTACCATGCTGTTTGATAATTGCTAACATATGTGGCTCCTCTGTTTCATTGTAGTCGTCCTCGTGAGTTCTGGCGCCTTGACTACTGGGAAGATGACTTGCGGCGCCGGCGACGATTTGTGCGTAACCCCCTTGGATCGACACATCCTGAAGCGACACTAAAAGCAGCCGGAGAACATGGTCAGTGTAGAATCTGCTTCTTGCCAATAGCAGCAGGTTACAGTATGTGGCAGTAAAGACTAGACCTTCATTGCTATAAGATGCTAGAAAATTGTCCCAAATGCCAAAGGCTTTTGCCATTGCATTTCAGACACATTCAATACAAAGATAAACTGACCGTTACTTCATATAAGCAATGTTGGTATTTGTTAAGCCTCTTCATTACATCTTAGTTGAGCTGGCACGTTGTGCATACTTTACGTACAATGATTACAAATACAGTTCTCACTAAGCAGAAGAAAAGTGGATGCGATTTTGCCATTAATCCCTGGACACACTTTCTTGCGGTAAATTACCTATTTATGCTTTAGTAACTTCAGAATAAGTTTTCCCTGTTCTTTCCCTGTTCAGAAACCCACAGCAATTATTTCAGTTAGCCTTAGCACATATCTGCCTATCGCTACAGATACATTAAAAGAAAAATAACACTTCTAAAGCTAAACTGCATTCAGACTTTTGCTTATTTTTAAGTCCTCAAGTTTCTGCAAGAATTTGGTATGGAAGAAATAGTAACAAATGCTGAAACGTAAAGTATTGTTCAAGCAGCAAACGGTAATGATGATTTCTACCTGGTGATTTTAAAAAAGGAGATTGCATTTTTTTAAGAGATTGGGGTTTTTTCACCCTTTTTATTATCAGAGATCACTCAGCTACATGCTGCTATGTTTGTTCTAGAGGTATGTATTTACAAGACTAATACAATAATCAGTTTGAGAATTCTATAATAAACCAAAAAGATAAACAAACACCCAAAGCTGGTGAACTTCGGGTTTTAGTCTAGAATTTTATGTCTTTGCAATCTGATGAAGATACATTGATTCTACATTGATAAGGTAGAAAAATCTTTTTTTATATTTAAAAATAATTTCTTATAATTAAAGCTGAGTACCCTTCACCTTGAAGGTACATGTCATGGAATAGAACAATTTAAATTTAGGTCTTTTTTTTCTTTTTTAGTTTGTGAATTCTATATACACACACACACATATTATGTGTGTATGTATATACACACATACATATATGTGGAGGCATAAACTTTATGCTAATTTAAAATTATTAAGACTGTTGTATGAATATAGAAGATGATCACTGTCATAAAGTTAGTTTCCATCAGGCATCCTAACCTCTTGCACTCAGCCTTAAAGAGCCATTTCTGGAAGAAAATGTCTACAATATGTCAGCTGATACAATGCCAAATGTGACATCAGTCCTCTAAAATAAATGACCATACAGAGAATAGTCAATAAAGTGATCTGAAAGCAATGTTTGTAGAGCCCTACATCTTTGACTATAGAAAGAGGAACAAGATGTAGAATTAATTAACCCACTTTTTGCTTTGGGGCTTGTTGTTCTTAATACTCTGTGTTGTTTCTACACCATGGACTTTAAGGGCACAGGGTTTCTCTCTGTTTAATACTCCATGGATAAACAACAACTGCCCCCCTTTAATATTATGTTTACTTCAAATTAAATAGATCTTGTCACAGTTTTATGCAATCTACTCATATTTTTGTATTTAATCCTTATATTGTTTACCAAAATACTGAAAAATATTTTTACTGCAAAATATTTAGAGCTCCTACCTATACTTGTGTAACTGATTCTTCCATAAGTAAACACACACTAATACAATTATTCATCTTTCATAGTAATGTGGTATTTTCACTAATCCATGCTATATTTCACGGGCTATAGCTCATACTCAGTTTGTAATTGACAGGACTACAATTTTTGTCAATACAAAAGAAGAGTGAATAAAAGTAGCCCTATTTCATAGGTAGCTAATAAGCATAGCTGGTAGCTAACCCTGGTAATTTAAATAGAGCTAATTGTTTTCTGTCCGCCTTTCTGTTAGAATTTGACATCCTTAACAGGCTTCTATTATATTTAATTTCTTGATGTTGTTTTATTCTGAATTTAATTGCATACTGCCTTTGTTATCTGTTGCCATTCTGATTCTTTATCTATCCAGTGAATATTTGAGTGTACCTTAAGTTGTTATTTAATGTGGTGCCTGAAAATATAATTACTCTCTGCCTAACTGAGTGTACATACATATGCAACTGTCTTGCTCCAGGACCTTCCACTGGCAAGGTATAAAACAGATGACCAAAGTACAAATTCAAGTTCAACTGGAAACTATATATAATGTATAGGAATACAAAGGTGGTTGTGTTTTTTTACGGTTTTGTTTTGGGTTTGGGTTTTTTGTGTGGTGTTTCTGGGTTTTTTGGTGGGTTTTTTTTTTCTTTAAGTCTCAGAAGGTACAGTTGTCAGAAAGGTCAACTGGGGTGGTCACTTGATCTATTTCTTTCTGAATTGTGTTTATAAACTTTTAATATTAACCAATTTCAGGTCAGAAAATCCAATTCTTTACAGATTTTTGGAACCAGACTTTCAGGCCCTGTTTTCATGATGTAGATATCCTTAGAATTCGCAGAATATTTGCCGCGGTATTTTATGATTTCTTATCAATAATTTATCATTAATTATTCTATTTCAATTAATTTTACATGTCTCTGAAGCAAAAGCATTTTTAAATAATGAATAAAAGGTTCCCTACTGCCTATTTAAGCTTTTCTCAAAACAAAACAGAGCAAAACAAAAACCTGAAATTGGGCATAAGGGATTTTGCCAAAAGGGAAGCAGGGGAAAATAATGCATAAATAATGGAAAAGTACTGTTGCAATAACCATGCTTGAAAGCGTGGATTTTAGCACACTTTTCATTCATAGATACACATTATCAACTGCTTGGTGTCTTTCAAATAAAACCAGATGTATTCTACACCCCAGAGAGCTCACAGTCTAGGAAAGATGACAATTTGCAACTGTGAAAATTATTCAGAAGCAATCAGAAGCCTAGATATTGTTCAGTAAAACCTAGAGAGAACAACAACAACAATCAGCTCTGTTGCAGCCTAGTTATGTGTCTTAGTAGCAAGAACCAATCTTTTCCAGGGATTGATTTGATTTGAAGGAGAACCTCTGGTGCAGAGGTGGCAGAATAAATACCTGAAGACTAATGTTCTCTGTTCAGACAATCAATACCAGCCCCATGACTATACTTCTGGCTACCTTCTAGTTAAAAACAAATTTTTTAATTCTGACAATTTAATTGCCATTCCCAAGTTCACATTAACTTGCTTGGGAAAAAAAGGCTTTAGGTAATTTTTCAAAGGGGGGGGGGAGAGAAATCCTTCCAAAATGGCTATTTATAAAAGTCAGTCTAGTAGTGTATTGTGGGGGAAGAAAAGAGAGGTAAAGGTACTGTGGTAGAAGTAGTTTGGGATGGAAAGAGTTAAGTCTTTTCTGTTCTCCCTTTCACCCATTGTTTAGAAATTAAACCAATATACTTATATAGGTGTGAAAGTGCAAAAAAAATGAGTGCTTTAAACCTGTTGGTATTTTTAGATTGATCCCCAAATACAATATGTTGTGTGAGAATCTTTAGCTGCTAGAAAATACCTTATCAAGCTTTTTAACAAGTGATTTGTTGTTTTTTATTGACGTTTGTTAAAAACTTGGGGAGAAGGGGGATTAAAACAGTCTGTAGCATTTCCATCAAGGCAATAGGCAGAGTTCAGAGCTTTGTGACTGCAAGGGACTAGCAGCTGATCACCTACAGTATTGCAATCGACTGGTCAGTTTTCTTTGCCTCAACTCCAGGGATGAAAAAGAAGTCTTAAAAATAATATTTTAAAAATCTGATGTGAAGGCGGTTGTTTTTTCCATTGTTATCTATTTAAACAAATAGGAAGACTAGAGGGAGGCTTCTGGGAGCCCTTTTTAAAGAATAGATGGTAAGGGGTTTTTAACACACCCTTTCCCTGAATTGCTTTTCCTGATATATTTACCAGACATTTAAAAAAAAAAAAAAAAGTATCTTCTGTGTCGTGCTTTCCAATATTTTTCAAATGGCTTTTAAAAATTGTATTTTGCAGGTAAGGTTAAGTCGTAGACAAACAATTTGAAATAATCTGTCGTTCCGTGAATGCCTTCAGCTTGTTCAGCAACATAAGCTAAACTATTATTTTTACACCCAAGTGTTCCAGAGATTTAACTGGAATAAATAAGACTTTCTGCAGATTCAGAGATCTGTTTCCAAAAAGCTACTTGAAGAAACTGAGTCTTAGAGAGCAGTTTGGGAAGGATTGCATGTAATTACACTGATGAATTATAATAATGAAATTGCTGTGCTAGATAAATACTCTGCCAGCAGGCTGTCATGTCCTGTGCAATACATAGGCCATGCCTTGAGGTCTTGATCTTGAAAAGGTGTATGTGAATGTATGCTTAGATCTGCAGGATTGGAGCCGGAAGCTCCAGTCATGCCAAGAATAGGCAGGCCTGGCAGAGAGCGGTTTGGGTTACCAGATGACAGAGCAGGGTTCGGGACCTGAAATATGAAATCCAGTGTAATGTACCTATGTGCATACATGGGAACTGAACAGGTCACACGATGTCATGCTCCGTCCTATGTGTATCTAATCACTAAATAGAGAAAGAGAACTAGACCGTGGCCTACCTACGTAAGTGCATTTATCTACAGAAAATAGGTGAATCCATGTGGAATATATTCAGTTGTATACAGACACTCAAGTGAGAGTGTGTGTGTTGGTTGCAGGTGTGGTGCTTTATTCAAGTCAGTACAGAAGAAGCAGATTCTGGTTCAGTGTGATGTCTTACTGCCTTCCAGCAGTTAGTATCTGCAGATGTGTAGACAGGCTCTGCATCTTCCTGTGCCTGTGCGTATACACGTTTCATGCATGTCAGGAGATGTGGGTAACTAACATCATACGCAAAGAGATGACAAAAATTTACAAAAAAGGACTAAAATAACTTATGGCCTAAAATCTTTTATTGAAAAAGGCAGTTACATAAGACGTATGTTTTTGCATCAGTATAATACCATTAGTTGGGGAAAGAAATAAAATCTGAGTAAGTGACGAAGATGAGGCAGGAGGTGTATATTTCTGTTGTCCAGTCATCTTTGGCTTGGAAGTTGCTGTACTGATTTTATTTTTTCCTAATGGTAGATGAGAAGAAAGACTGAAGGACATACTAGTATTTTGGACAAGTTGTGCCAAGTATGATCTTGGCTTTCAATTCAATCTTAATAGGTAGAAGGCTAGTTTGAAATAGCATCTTCGGTATAACACAAATAGATTGTAGTAAAGGAAGCAAAAATGGCAGGTATGTACAGTAGAGATGGGGTTTTTGAAACAACAAATATAGTTTGCCTGTATTAAAAAAATAAAATTATTATCTTTGACTTTATGCCTGGGATGGTTTTGTTCTATTTTACTTTTTCTGATCTTCAAGAGAATGCCAGTAGGCCACTGAGTAACAGTGCATGTGGTGTATATTAGTATACTGTTGGTAATTTTACTGCTGCTAACTTAAAATCCTCAAGGGGGAGTTAATTACAGGAAAACCTTTCTAAATATCAGCTGCATATTTTCCATGACTAGAAGGTTTTCAACTCATGTTGAACAGCTCCAGAATCTGAGTTATCATGATTTACATGAGCATATTTTAGAAGAAAGTAAAATTTGTGTTTGTATAATACAGTTAAAGCTTTACAATAATCTATTTTTAAAGGCTTACCTACAAGTGGCAGTTGTTGGTTGGGGAGAAAGGATGCATAAATTGCATTTTAATTTGTATGGCAAGTTAAACTTCCTTTTCTTTGTGGTCTGTTTTTGTTTTGGGTGGGGTTTTTTTGTTGTTGTTTGGGTTTTTTTCTAAGCTCAAGGCCTAAACCAAAAGCAGGGTATTTGGTGGTTTGGGGTGGGGTTTTTTGTTTGTTTGTGTTTCTTTTTTAGTTTTCACTTAATTGAAAAGTTTATTATTTGCACTTTACATGCATATATTTACTTCAACAATTTAAACTTTATAGGTTGCCACTGGGGAATTGCTGCCTTCTGTAAATGTTTGCAGATTAACGTATTTTTAAAGTAAGCCAGTGGAACTTCAAATCAAGTGTGGCAGCAATCAGAGAAAGCCACGAGTAATGTGTTGAAGTTGGTTGGTCCTGATGTGTTTGGTGAATGTTTTTCAGAGCACGGCTGTGCCATGGGCATTCTCAGTCTGTTTTTTAAGAAATACTATTTTTATTTTGAACTTCAAAAAACCCCAAACAACACACACACCGCTGGTTTTTTGGCTTTTACCACAGCAAGTGGTAACTTAGGTGTAGAGGGAGCGATCGCCTCTTTTTTTTTTTTTTTTTTCATTTTTCTTTTTCTTCCCTGCTGCAGCTTTGAGCTTGTAATGTAAATAAAATAGATTTCGACCTAGCAGAGCCGAGACGAGATGAGGAACGCTCCCAGGGAACACTGGCGCTC